AAGCATTTATCGTTTGTGTTACAAATAATCCAATTACACTCTTTTAGTTATTTTAAAATGTGCAATTCAGTTTTTATTATTATTGACCATGGTCACCCATGGTAAGTTTAATCACTCAGTTATGGACCTTTCTCCATTGTAAAGGTCCTGCTTGTAATTAATAAGTAATCTGTGGAATGATGATACTTTTAGACTGTGTAAATATTCCTCAGAATTTCAACCAATAATTTTAGCATCCATTAATGATTCTTTTCAGAATTCATGATTACTATAGTATCTGCAAAATGGTTATTTGGTATTACTCTCTATTACTCTTTCTAAATTTATTAGTTACCATTCTTCTGTAAATCAGACTTTCTCTTCTCCTTTCCCACTTTTTATTTTTTTACTTTTTTAGTGACAGTACAGATTCATGGAGTCGTTTTCAAATCAATATCTAAAATCCATTTCTGTAATTGATCATTTTGATGTCTATATTGTCCCTAATTTGGCCAGTATAACTCTCTGCAATGGCTTCTGTATTCTCTTGCTACATCGCCATCAGCTTTTTGACCTTATTTTACTTTCTGTTACAGTAAGATGTTTCAAGCTCACTTTATGTATTTGTTTCTCCAGACCCCTGGAATCAGCCATTTCTTCAAGGCCCTATTTTTGTTTGTTTGTTTGTTTGTTTGTTTTAGTGGGGAATGATGTTGAGAAACCACAATTTAGGTATCAGGTGTGTTCTTTGCCACAGGGGTGTCATTGCTTCTAGGCTTTCTCAGAGGATAAAGCTAAGACATACGTCTTAAAAAGCGTGAGTTCGGTCAGGTATACTGGCTCACACCTGTAATCCCAGCACAATAAGGGAGGATTGCTTGATCCTACGAGTTTGAGACCTGCCTGGACAATGTAGTGAGACTTTGTCTCTACAAATAATTTAAAAAATTAGCCAGGCATAACGGCATGCACCTGTAGTCCCAGCTACTTGGGAGGCTGATGTGGGAGGATGGCTTGAGCCCAGGAGGTTGAGACTGCAGTGAACTATTAGCACACCACTGCACCCCAGGCTGGGCAACAGAGCAATATCCTGTCTCAATTAAAAAATTTAAAATAAATAAATAAATAAATAAATAAATAAATAAATAAATAAAGAAGTCATGAGTTTACACTGATACCTTTAATTCCAATCCAACATCCCAGGCGGCTGCTTCTTCCCTCACTTCATATTTCCTACCATTACAACTCTGGATGGACCCCCAAAAACTTCAATGTATTTACTTTTTTGCACAATCCTATAAAGTGGTTTTAGAATTGTTGTACCAATATTATCACCACCAACAAACCTACTAAAGTTTATAATTTCTTTACATTTTTAAAAGCTAATAGTGTTTTCTTTCTTTCACAAAAAAATCTTAAAATAAATGTGGCAAAATGTTCATATTTGTCAATTCTGGATGATAATTACATGAATCTTAGTCATACTATTCATTCTTTTCTTTTTAAAAAATTGTTATTGAAGTATAGAATGCATACAGAGAAGTGCATTTTTTTTTTTTTTTTTTTTTTTGAGACGAAGTCTCGCTCTGTCGCCCAGGCTGGAGTGCAGTGGCCGGATCTCAGCTCACTGCAAGCTCCGCCTCCCGGGTTTACGCCATTCTCCTGCCTCAGCCTCCCGAGCAGCTGGGATTACAGGCGCCCGCCACCTCGCCCGGCTAGTTTTTTTTGTATTTTTCAGTAGAGACGGGGTTTCACCGTGTTAGCCAGGATGGTCTCGATCTCCTGACCTCGTGATCCGCCCGCCTCGGCCTCCCAAAGTGCTGGGATTACAGGCTTGAGCCACCGCGCCCGGCCGAAGTGCATTTATATTAAGTGAAGAGCTAAATGAATTTTTACTAACTGACATATGTGTATCTGTGTGTGTGGTGCTTCTCTATGTAGATATACGAAAATATAATTGTTGTTTTCTAGCTTGTGTAAATTTTAAGACACATTACTAAATAGTACTCAAAGTGATTGTACCAGTTTATTCTCTTAAATAGAGACTATCTGTTTGCCTACAGGCACGACAAAATGGAATATCAAATAACTTTACTTTTTGCCAATCTAGTGGATGAAATATTAGTTTCCTATTGCATTTCTCTTGTAGAGGTAATTTTTTTTGTTCAGTTATTGGCTACTTGTTTTCATCTTAAAGTGAATTGCATGCTTATTTCATTGTTTTTCTATTAGATTGTTAGTCTCTTTGTTTTCCACTTTAATACTATCTAATTTAACATTATGATATTTGTCTTGGGTATGATATTTGTCAAATGGTTGCCCATTTTTATGGTGATTTCTTAGTTATATACTAAACAAGGGATGGATTATTCATGAGTTTTTCGGAAAGGAGTGGGGGTGGGCAATTCCCAGAGCTGAGGGCTCCTCCCCTTTTAGACCATATAGGGTAACTTTCTGATGTTGCCATGGCATTTGTAAACTGTCATGGTGCTGTTTGGAGTGTAGCAGTGAGGGTGACCAGAGGTCACTCTCATCTCCATCTTGCTTTTGGTGAGTTTTGGCTCCTTTACTGCAACCTGTTTTATCAGCAAGGTCTTTATGACCTACATTTTGTGCCGACCTCCTATCTTATCCTGTAAGTAAGAATGCCTAACCTGCTGGGAATGCAGGCCAGCAGGCCTCAGCCTTATTTTACCCAGCCTCTATACAAGGTGGAGTCGCTCTGGTTTAAACGCCTCTGACATTTCCCCCATCCCTTTTATAAGAGAACCCTTAATCCTAAGGGTTGTAGAGAGATGAAGGTCCATCTTTTGTAACTTCTGGAGGCTGAATGGGGCGATGATATTCCTGCCTAACTATTAGGGTCTCAGATCCAGGGTAGAGAGGAGTTCAGTCAGAGAAAGTCTCAGTATGGTGAGGGCCATTCATAACTCTGACTAAAGGCGATATAACTAGTTTCCAGATTTTGGAGAAATTAGGTAGAGAGAAACAAACATGCTTCACATTTTGTTCACAGGAGCATAATTGACTCAATTGTTGAAAGCTGTCAATAGCTCAAAAGAAAAGTTTCCTTGACTTCAAAGTCGGCCAGTCAGTGTTGTTCTATTTCCTTTGGGTCAGGGGTCTCCTTAGTATCATCCCTTTGTGGTTGCCATAAAGATGTCACCAGAAAGCAGTCCTAAACCAGACCCCAAGAGAGGGTTCTTGGATCTCACATAAGAAAGAATTCAAGGCGAGTCCACAGAGTAAAGTGAAAGCAAGTTTATTAAGAAAGTAAAGGAATGAAAGCATGGCTACTTCACAGGCAGAGCAGCCCACCTCCCTTTTCTGTTGGAGAGCTGATGGTTAAACTTTTATTAGCACACCACTGGCTGAAGGCAACAAGCTACTAGCCCCAGGCCAGATAGGTACCATTGACATAGTTTGTTTGACCCACATGATATTAATTAAAACAAACAGACAAAAATGCTGAATGGCATGCCACATTTACAAATTGTGAGAATTCACATAACAACCTGGAATACCTCATTCTCTTGAAGGATCAGATCTGGCCCCGTCAGATTTTCCCATGGCAGCACTCAGTGGGAGCTGAGCCACTATAGAGCTTCAGGTGGGGCATGCACCCTTACTTAACCACCATCCCACCACTCCCTGTTGTCCCCCAAACCCTGCAGCTAAGTGCCAAATGCCATTTATCCCCATGCCTGTGCTGTGGATTTTCTCTGCCCATTCTTCATCCCACAGCAGCACAAACTGAACCATATTTTTAGTCCAGAAATCTGAAACCTCAGGCTTGATTTATAACTAAATTAGTTTTCCTTTTCTATTGATTTAAGTCCCATTAACTCACAAGTATTTCTCAAAAGACTCACTTAAAACGTATGTGAAAGGGCTTTGAAACTATTAAAAGCTACCAAATGGAAGATATTTATAGGAGGCATATACTTTCTAACATCATTTAATTTTATACTTTATTAATAAAAATTATTAAAATTCAATTTGTTATATTTTCAGTAACTAATGACAGTGAATATATTACTAATCTTTTCACTTGTCTTTTCTTGCTTTCCTTTCTCCTCCTTTTTCCCCCTTTCCTTATCTTTTTCTATCACTTTAACATTATCTGAAGTACAATGTCAGTAATGAGGTCAGATTTTTCTATTAAAATTAATACTTTGGTCTTTGTTTTGGCCTAATTTAAACACTGACATGGACTCATGCTAATTAGCCTGAATGGCTAAGTCCCCCACCAATTAAGCAAATGTAGAAATTGCAGGTTATTTCAGTTACTCTATGTTAAGGTTAAGAGGAAAAAAAAAAGTGATGTATGTGATCTAAAGTCATTAGCCCCAGGACATCCTGTTAAGTCATGGACTATTTCTTATCATTATGGCATCATGAATGCAATAATGTTTCAAATTCATTCCACTCCAGGTTTAAACATTTGTATCATAATTGCTTTTTAGATAGTTTCGCTCTTGTTGCCCAGGCTGGTGTGCAATGGCGCAATCTTGGCTCACTGCAACCTCCGCCTCCCAGGTCCAAGTGATTCTCCTGCCTCAGCCTCCGGAGTATCTGGGATTACAGGCATGTGCCACCATGCCTGGCTTATTTTGTATTTTTAGTAGAGACAGGGTTTCTCCATGTTGGTCAGGCTGGTCTCAAACTCCCGACCTCAGGTGATCCGCCTGCCTCGGCCTCCCAAAGTGCTGGGATTACAGGTGTGAGCCACTGCGCCCGGCCATTTTATAAAACTCACAGTCCCAAGACCTCTGAAATCAATTATTCTCTACTTAGAGGAATTCCAAGCAATTTCACAAAATGAAACAGAAAAAAATTAAGGCAGTATTTTGAAAGAAGATATGTTTCTTGGGGGTCACCTCCTAGGAGGAGCTCCACTAATCAGTCTCTAGGGTGTATTGTTTTCTCCATTTCTGATGGGATGTTTCCCTACAGGCTCCTAGTTGCAGAGACCAAGCCTAGCTGCCTCCCAAGACATGTCCCTGGACGGAATCAAGTTGGTTTTCGGGTTTCTTTTTCTTTTGTTTTTCAAAAGTGCGCTGGCAGCTGGGCACAGAGCAGAACAGAGAGCTGGTTATTGGTGTGTGTGGCTGTGCTGCAAATGGAGCCTGCAGAGAGGGGCACAGTTGTGGGTAGGGATACCTATCTCACGGCCTTATTTCCAGATTCCTTCTGCAAATTATCCATCATTTGCCAAAGTTCCAGGCAGCTGGACGCAGTTATTATGTTAGTAAATAAATGTGACGACATAGCTTTTGTGGCTTGGCATTGGGAAGGTTTTAAAATAAGAAAAGTCAGGAAAGTTGTTGGCAATGCTGGTAACGTTTTCAATACTATATGATTTTAAGGATGAATCCCTGTTGAAAAGAGCCATATCTAAGAATGAGATATACATACATGGCTGCCAGCCTTTGTGTAACCACATGGGCTTCTCTCTGGAGTCACTGTCCCCAGCGCTATGGATGAGTAGGCTCTGCTCTGGGAAGGGATGCTTGGCCTCCATGTTGATGCGCAGCCTCTGCAGACCACAGATAGCCAGGTATTCAGTGGGGAGAGTGTTGGCGCTGCACAGGGAAAGCTTCAGGTCTTGGACCAGCGTGAAGTTCAGCAGGCGGCCCAGTGTAGATGTGTCCGTGAACCAGATGGTCAGATGGCCATTGTAGCTGGTTCGCCCCACCGCAAGGGGCAGGACAGTTTTACAGCTGCACATCAGGTTGGCCAAACTGTAGTCACAATCCCGGATGTCTGCAGAACAGCTGCAGTTCCGAATGGTGTTTTCCTTTGTGAAGATGAGCGTGCTGTTCTTCTGACCTCTGGTGAAGCAGTTAAGTGCAAAGACGCCCAGAGCGCTGATCAGAAGGAGACAGTGCCTGCGAGGTGGTGCCATGCTTGCCCAGCGTGGGCCAGTGTGTTTATCCCCCACCTTTGTGAACCAATTTGTTGGAACTCACCTGAAAGAAAACAGGCAGCTTTATCACAACCTTTCATTTGAAATACACAGTTTGTGGAAAAGGAACCCCAGAAAAAAACAAGTTGTAAACATTTCTTTCTCACTGTTCTAGTAACTGTTTCTTGAGCCGCAGGCAACACTTGCAGCCCAGGCACTGGGAAAGCTCTTTTCTCAGCACCTTATCCAGAGACAGCAGCCAAACCTTTGAGCTCTGCTCATCTGAGGTGTAAAACTCCCAGTGATGTCGGCTGACAGTGAGACCAGCATGTCAACAACACAGCCAGAGCAATGCCAGAGCGGATGCCAGAGAGGAGACCTACCGCATCCTATCTACGGGCAGGGATTTGGAGTTGAGAGAGCACATTCTCCAAACATCCAATTACTAGTATCAAGTGCCCACAAACACCTGAACATGCACATGCTTTCCTCCCCCTCAATATCTGACTTCCTGGAATTCAGGAGACAAACACTTCTTTGTTGGATTCAGCTATCCAAGCACTACCTATTACACAACATAGCATGAATACCAATGAAGCATTTAGTTAATGGTAAGCTTTAATTTCTAAGTAGATAAACATGCCTTCCATCCCCACTGTATTAATCTGTTTGTAGGTCCATTCATCCTTTTCAGGGCCTCCTACCTAATGTACCTAAGTAACTGTGGTAATAGACAACAAAAAGACTAATCACCCACTGATGAATCACAATTATTTTGATTTAGCTACTCTTATGCCAGAAGAAATTTATGAACTGATCTTGTCAATTGCAGGGCTCCAAAACAAAACCATATATAGGAACTTCTAAAAAATCTAGATAAGGTAGGGATGCATGGGTAATTTAAAGAGCAACACCAATGTCCAGTTTTGGGGGAAAAGCCCTACAGTGTCTGGCATATGACAGATGCAGGGTCCTCCTTTGTGGTGTGATTGGAATGAGATGAGCATCATGGCAGAGTGTACCACATTTCAGTTTGATGAAAGTAATCGCATTCCCCCAATGACTGAAGAGAGAAACCAAACAATACAATTCAGTCCATCTCCATTTGCTGAGTTCCATGGGTGTGGTGGGATACTGGGCATGAGACCTCTGAGTGGGAGGGCCCAGAGCTACTGGCAGGGCCACTACACTAAGGGTCAGGGAGCAACAGATGGAAGGGTCAGTCTGAGGATCTCAACATGTGTCCAAAGAGTATGGTGACAGCAGGGAAGAGGCTAGGCAGACAAGCAGCAATTAGGGTGTAAGACGAGGCCACAGGGCAATTAGAAATCCAAAGGAATCAAAGCTAAAAATGTCAGGGATCAGGTAGACAGGCAGGAGGCACAAGCCACAACCCCATGACTGGAATGCCAGGAGGATAGAAGTAAGCTCTGCCGCGTAAACTTGAACAGAGGGCAAGACATTGATTCACAGCAATTCTGAATGTATTCATGCATTTATCCCTCCCTCCCTTCCTCCCTTCCTTCCTCCCTCCCTCCCTCCCTCCCTCCCTTCCTTCCTTCCTTCCTTCCTTCCTTCCTTCCTTCCTTCCTTCCTTCCTTCCTTCCTTCCTTCAACTAATGCTTATTGGAAGATTACTAGGTGGCACGCCCTCTGCTAGCCATTAGGTTACAACTCAGAACAAGACAACCCAGGGCCCAGTCCTCATAGAACTTATGTCCTAATGAAATTCCTTCTGCTTCCAATGGGCTGGGCATCAGAGCCCAAAGCCAGGCCAGTCCTGCATGTGAGGATGGAGAGGCTGTAGCAGTGGGGAAGAAGTGGGAGGAGGGGGCAAATGCAGGAGTTGGGTAGGACCCAGCCTAGGCCATGTGCCAGGCCCTGGCTTAGGCCAAGCAGAAGAAACAAAGATACAAAAGACCTGGATCCTATCCTCCAGGATTTATCCTCAAAGGAAAAGACAAATAAGGCTGAACTGAGAAGCGCTGTACTGAACATACAGGCTGCTATGAGAACACAGCAGAGAGAGAGAGAGAGATTCGACGTGGGGGACTGGATAAGGCGCTTTATAGAGCTTTGTGTCTATTTTGAAGTTGGCACAGGATTTTCTTAAAGGATTTATTAATAGGTGCATTTTGTCATGAAAGAAAGAGCTTTGAGAAACATGGAGAACAAGTGTTCTCCCTGTACAAGAGGCTTAACAGTCTTAACCAGTGTTAGAATGTGGGTGTGTCTACCCCGCTTAGTGAGCACGTGTTCTTGTTCTGGTCTTTGGGCTTCCTGATGTCCAGGAGGCAGGGACCATCCTGAGGTCCTGAGGAACGGTGAATAATTTATTAATTACAAGATAATTTTAGACAATCAGCTGTCCCAGATTCCACTGGAGGCCTCTGGGACTTCGTGTCCCAGTAACCCTGTCATCCCAGAACCAGGAATGCCGTCAATACCGTTGGCCCACCCTGACCCTAGCCTTAAAAGGAAAGAGAGGGGAGAGGTCTATTCATCAGCCCAGACTTACTGAGAAAAGTGCCTGCCTCCCTCTTTCAGGTGCCAGTCCTGTTCAGGGGCAGCCGTGGAGGAGGAAAAGAGATCAGAAGAGAAAAGGATATTGGTTTGCTGGAACATGTGGGACAAGAAGTTCCCAGAAGAATTTGTGAGCAACTTCCCAACAGTAAGGCCCTGGCTGGACCTCAGGATGGTCCTTCCTGGATATCAGGAAGTCCCAATGCCAGAACAAGAACACATGCTCAGAGGGAAGGCTCACTAAGAGGACACCGAGTGGGGCAAATACCCTGGTAACCCATTTATGGGAGCCGCCACAGAGATGCCAGTTGGATATTTTCCTCCTTCAGTCTACCATGAGTTTCTTTTTTCTTTTTTGAGATGGAGTCTTGATCTGTTGCCCGGGCTGGAGTTCAGTGGTACAGTCTCAGCTCACTGCAAGCTCTGCCTCCTGGGTTCCAGCAATTGTCTTGTCTCAGTCTCCTAAGTAGCTGAGATTACAGGCACGCACCACCATGCCCGACTAATTTTTGTATTTATAGTAAAAATGGGGTTTTGCCATGTTGGCCAGGCTGGTCTTGAACTCCTGACCTCAGGGTGATCCGCCCGCCTCGGCCTCCCAAAGTGCTGGGATTATAGGCATGAGCCACTGCACTTGGCTGTACCATTCAAGGTTCTCTTTCACTGGGGTAAACACCTTGAGAGAACAGTTTTTGGGCTTTGTATTCTCAGTTTCCCACACAGTGCCTAGCACATAGCAAGGACTCAACAAATTTCATTGAATGAATGAAAAAACATAGTTTACTAAATGACAGTGTACTCAAACTCTTTTAACTGCTAGCTATAGAAATCCAATTAAGACTGACTTGAGTAAAAAAAAAAAAAAAAAAAAACGCCCAACTAATTGAAAAAATAAAGAAAGAATTCAAGCAAGGCCTGAACCAACCAACCAAAAAAAAAGGTTATCAGAAATGTCTTTCCATCTTTCAGTTATTCTTTCTCATTTGTGGGCTTTATTCCCAGACAAGATCACTCCTTCTGGGGACAAGATGGTCACTAGTAGATCCAGGTTTACTTTCTATCAGCTGAGCAACCTCTCAAGAAAACAAACAAACAAACAAAAAACCCAAAAAACTCTTTTTAAATAGCACCAGGCTGCTGGGTGTGGTGGCTCATACCTGTAACCCCAGCACTTTGAGAGGCCAAGGTAGGAGGATTGTGGGAAGCCAGGAGTTCAAGACCAGCCCAGCCAACATCATGAGACATAATCTCTACAAATAAAATAAATTAGTTGGACATGATGGTGCACACCTATAGTCCCAGCTACTCGGGAGGCTGAAGCACAAGGATCACTTGAGTCTGAGAATTCGGTGTTGTTTAAGCCACCCTGTTGTGGTATCTGTTATGGCAGCACAGGCAGAAATAGGGACACAAGTGTAGGTTCAGGGCAAGGTGTGTGAGCACACTCAGTCCCTGGCCTCGGCGTCTCTCTGGATAGCTTCTTGCCTAGGGTGAGTGACAGAGGGAGGGATGATATGAAAAGGCACCTGTTCTTCTCACGACCTAACCCCAATTCTTACTCCACGGGTTCATGACAGCCAATTCTGCTAGAGACTGTGTCTTAAACCTTCCTCTCCTAGTTTCCCTCAAGTACCCCTCGTGAGCTGTGATTTCACTGGGCTTTGAAATCTTAGGCCATTTGAGGCTGCAGTGAGCTATGATTGTATCACTACACACTCCAGCCTAGATGACAGAACAAGACCCCCTCTCTAATAAATAAATAAATATGGCTGGGCGCAGTGGCTCAGGCCTGTAATCCCAGAAATTTGGAAGGCCAAGACGGACAGATCACTTGAGCTCAGGAGTTCGAGACCAGCCTGGCCAACATGGCGAAACCCTGTCTCTAGCAAAAATACAAAAATTAGCCAGGCAGGGTGGCACGTGCCTGTAATCTCAGCAACAGGGAGGCTGAGGCAGGAGAATCGCTTGAACCTGGGAGGCAGAGGTTGCAGTGAGCAGAAATTGTGCCACTGCACTCCAGCCTGGGTAACAGAGTGAGACTTTGCAACCAAATAATGATGATGATGATAATAATAATAATAATAATAAAATAAATAACCAAATAAGTAAATAAATAAATATTGGAGGCAAAAATACACTGGTCTCCTGAGTCGTACGCTCAGCTCAGGACCCAGTGAATGGGATCAGCTACACTGCAAACAGTGGACTGAGAAGGTAGAAGGATGGTTCTGCAAAGGGAAATCAGGAGGCACTATTAGAAAAGGGCCAGGCAGGCAGTCAGAAAAGTGGGTGCCCACAAGACCTGTGGGATGAGCGTGGGTGAGCATTGCAACTCTACTCCTCTCAGTCTCAGCAAACACCAAAGCACCACTTAGATAAAATGAACTCTAAGAGTGCAGATATATATCTGACTTTGTGGGATATATTCAGAATTTCAAATGGGTTCCTTTACTGGAAGGCCCCTCGTTTTTACCTCCCAAGAATCTTCAAGGATTTTTGCAGGGACACACGTTGGGGACTGCATTTGTGAGTGATAGCCCT